TTGTCTGTCATTAGGCTCTCGTATGTGAATACCTTAAGGTATGATAATGATTTATAGTCACTCTCGCTAATATAAAGCTGCAGCCAATATAAACCAGCACTGTGCTTAGTGTTAAAAGACGTCGCTGATTTATAACATTGTGTTTTCTCTTGGAGTTACCTTAGAAGTTTCCATGTTACTGTTTTTTTTTTTCTGTCATGCTTTCCAAGTCCGCCCCCCGAATTCATTTATCTCTAAGTTTCTTTCTCCCCATCAATTTCCCTATCATTCTTCCTCGAAAATTTTGTCTGGATTATTTGTGAATGGGTTGGATTAGAAGTCATTATGTAGACTCCCAATGTTTCCCTTTACCTAAATTTGAGAATAACTTTGAATGACCCTGTTTATGGACAGGAAAATAAACCTTCCTTAAGTACAAACATTTCATTCTATAAGATTAGAGGAGAAAGCGGATTGATGAAGATAAATGGATGGCAGAATTATCTATCATCCCTAATTTTCTGTACTTGTGTGTCTTTCATCTCTTTAAGACATAAATATTATGCTGTAAAAATGTTGGGTTTGTAAAAATGTTCCAGATAACCCCTCAGTTAGGTCAGTTTTCCAGCTAAGCGGGATGGAAGAAGTCTTTGGGAGAGGCCTTAATAACAGAGTGGGAGCACTCATACATCAGTCTTTCTCACCACACCAACCACCCTGGCTCCAAACACAGCCCCCCAGACCATATAACAGCATATTAGTTGCTACAATATGCATAACAGTTTAAATTGAACATTTCTGATTTTTGGTTTAGCATAACCCTCTAAGGCTGCTCTTGTTTCTTGTTTCTCTTCACTCTTTTTTTATTTCCTTTTCCTAATTCCTGAGCCCAGCTCTAATTCCCATAATGCCGTCATTGCAAAGTTGCACCAAAATCTGATAGCTGTATGAGGCCTAAGTTTGTGTCCCTGCCTGATTTTTATCTTCGGAGGCCAAATACTGCTGGATGAGGATGAAAGCTGTTCCCATTTAGTTTTCTGTGAACTTCTAAATATGTCCTATTCAATTGAAATTTTAACTCTTTTCAAACTAGCAGTGGTATTCGGGTGAAAATAAAAAGCATTCCTTCCAAGTCAGTTTAGATCATTGTTCATTTCCATGGAAAAGTCCAATAAAAATATTTTTACAGCTCAGTTATTTAAATTCCATTGCTTTAAAGTCATTTAACTGAAGATATAAAGCTTAGATAATCAAACTGAATTAAGATCTCACCTCCTCTTTCTCATCCTTCCCTGAACAAAATGTTTTACGCAAACACTTTTAAAAAGCTGAGGTGTGACATTTAAAGATGTCCAAATAGATGACCATACAAGTATTTTAGAATAACTTTATGCAGATATCAAGCTAGGAAAGAGTTCCTCTACAGGCTTATAAAAAAATGTGGAATTTGATATTAGCATTATGAAATCTGGATGGAAAAAGAATAGTAATATTTCCTGATTATATACTTCCTATCTCATTTTTCAAAACGTGATTTCCATCGTCCACCAACTAGTGACTAGTATAATATGTCATATTTAGTTTTATGGTGAACCAGTTGGAACCAATAAAAGATGTGATCCAGTTTGAATTTTAAACATGGACGATGCCCTGCATGCAAAAAAACTGAAAACTTTATCATGCGCTTAAAGTCAGTAGGTTACATGCTGTTCTTAAATATATAAATACACTGGAAAGAGTGACAGGAGTGGGACCTATGCAGGTAGAGAAAAAATGTACCCTAAAATAAAAGTGTCTGTTTTAATGTGCCTTTTGAAGTATTTCATAAGTAGTATTACAGAAGTCTGTTTTAAACAGCAAAATTCCAATAAACTAACTAACTAAATTATATTTTAACAAATTAATATTTATTTTTTAGGCTTGCTTGATTTGGTTTTTGGTCTTTTTTGAAAGCGAGTAAATGCACTTAAGAGGAGATGCAAAGAAACATTTGTTAAAGCTACAGTGTGTAATAATTACAGGGATATACAGTCAGAAATGTAATATATTATACATAACTATGTTATTTATCATCATCTACGAGCTCAGCCTCTTAACCTTAATATTTGCGTTGCCTTAGAATTCGTTATTTATAATTACATAGGAGCGGGTCTCGCAGCCATGGAGGCAGACATCTTTGCGCTACGGCAGCGCAGAGCCAACAAACTAGCGATTGCGAGATCGCCAAAACGTCACAACGATGTAGAAAAAATAACGGGTATATTTATTACCTTAAGTCTACATGAAATCTATACCCTACACAGACTAATGAAATACTATCTGTAAAATTATCTATGTAAACAAACCTCATCACTTGAGAAGGTAGGTGATGCGGATGTCGTGGAAGACATTTTGTCCCGTAACGCTCGCCGTACTGTTGGGGGGGGAGAAGCGGTGGGGGGGAGATGTTCATGTTGCTGCAGTCTGCAGTCTGACCGCTAGATGTCGCTGAAAGTTACACACTGTAGCTTTAAAGAAACTGTTGATGTAGCTTATATTTACCGCTGAATCCATTACACTCGGCCCGATTGCAGCACAGTCATCAAAAGCTCGGTCTGTTTCCTAACTTTGAATTACTCTAGTTTGCTACCTCTATTTCCTGTTTATTATTAGCAAGCACAATATCAACGTATAGCAACGTCACTAGGGCTCGGCAGCAATTTGAATGTTCAAGAATTGATAAGATTAATACCAATTTAAATTTTATTTTATTTTTTATCTCATCTGATCATAAATTGGATTGCTAAATTAAAGACTCTTCTTTGCTGTTACCTGAATTACATCACTGTGGTAGTTATGCAACTTATTGATACTTACATTTTAAAATAATTCATCAGCAAATAAAAAAAATGGTGGTTAATGGCTGCTCTAAGCACAATGGAAATGCATTTTTTTAACTAACCTTTTGGAATTTATATTAGTGTTGCGCCAATACCATGTTTTGGCCCCACTACCCGATACCTGGCTGTGCAGTATTGGCCGATACCGATTCCATCTGTTTGTGTATATATATATATATGAAGAACTGCATACTACTTGTATGCAAAATATTTGCCATCATGGCTTTGTCAAGCTGCTGCCTACCTTTGTGAAGCAGGAAAAAGACAAATACAAAGTGAACCCAATAGCTGTTCTCTTGCCTACCTGGAATAGGTGACAATAGATGAATAAACTTTTTGGCTCTCAAAATGGTATCGGTGCCCTATTTGTTGGTACTCTCTGATACCGATACCACCATTTTAGTGCTGGATCGGGGCCCCACCCGATACTGGTATCGGTATCTGTGCAACACTAATTTGTATGAGAGTCAGTTCAGCATTGGTAGTTTTTTTTACAGAGGCCAATGCATTACGCATAGCATCATCTGGTTAATTAAAAACATGTCTAATTTACATTTTCTTTTTTTCTTTTTCTTTTCTCCATACTTAAAAGATTGGTCAAAATCACTCAAAGTCTATCTTGCAAAAAAGTAAATAAAAGAAAAAGTGGACATTTATTTCTAGTTTATTTTTTGTTGTGTCTTTGTCTCTAAAGAGGCTCCCAAATAGCTCAACTTTGATACTGCACTACCATCATTAATAACACAACATCCAGTACTTCCTTCTGTCTCTCTTCCTTGCTTTTCCCATAACTTGCCCCGAATGCTGAGCTCTCAGATTGCTGCTGTGCTCGACTTGCTCTGCCTTTAGTGAAACCAGTGAACTGCAGCGCCTCTTCTTTTCTGTCTTTTGTTAACCAAGGTTCTCAAGGCCCCTTAAAGTCCATCAGCTCCACCCCTAAAAAAAAAAAAAAAAGAGTAAAATTAAACCCACTTTGGGGCCAAGACGTCCTTTGATACCATGTAGTGTTCTGTAAAATCTACATTATTGCACTTTTATTACCATACAACAGCAAACCTTGTGAAAATATGTTGCACCATGTAGTATATGGGATAGAGTTCACTGAGCTCCAGATGAGGGTGATTTTTTGGTGTGTTTTCAGCATCATGATTTTACAGTATATTGGTGACAAAGTGGTAGAAACTGCAACTTCAATTTATTTGGTTGTCAAGACAATGAACATCCTTGCTGACAGGTATAGAGGCCTAAAGCATTTCTTATTAACATCCAGAACAGCTGCAGAGTTGCCACCCTGACACCGAATGTGTGATCTAACACATTATCACCTAATTAATTTGTTTCCAAGTGTCCCGGGGGCAAATTCACAGCACGCTTTTTTCACTGCACCACCTTCTTTTATGACACTGTTATGAAAAGAGACGCCTCTTATTTTGAAAAATGTAAAAGTAGATTTCTGATTTTTTTATCCCTTCAAACTTTTATGTAGGAAAGAAAGAGCTCATAGAAACACAGTTCATATGATTATTTTTTTTTACTCATTTTAAAGTTTTGGGGAATCACAAATTTGCTGTAAAAGAGAAACGTTGCTGTAAAATCAGTTCAGCCTTTCATTCATCTACTTAAAGCTCTATCTTGCAGAAAATGAACCACAGACATGCTTCCACTGATAAAATTCAATTTCCTCATAGATATCTGCTTCTTCATCACACAAATATAATGCGATGCTATCTAGGAGCTAGATGTCAGTGTTCAGGTAACCTCAGGGAATCATTTGTTATTAGCTCTCTGTTTCAGGAGACTTGTCTGTCCTTCATGTTTGGTTTTTTTAATTTGCAGGGAATCACCCATGACCCGCAGCATGGAGAACTATAGCCCACTTTCTCTAGTAATGAAAAGAATCGCTCCACTCAGTCTTCAGTTAGTAATAAAGGAGCATTAGGCCCAAATGGCCAGCTGATAGGCTCCCTGTTGTACACTTGATCCTTTGATCTGCATCAGCAATCCTACACCAACACTACATGTATCTATGGGGTGTTTTTCAGCATTGTGTTTCTCAGCAATATATCTATTTAAATTGAGCTGTTTTTACTTTTTCATCTGGCAGCCATTCATGCTAATTGTCTTCATTTCCTCTGTCTACAGGATCTGAGCTCGCCCAGGACCTCAGTGTACACGCTGCCACCACATGGAACCAAACAGACGGTAAAAAAAAAAAATGCTTTTCTTAATTCTTTTGAACCAACTTGAACATTTTTGTGAAAGGAAACAAAACAATGATGTGCTTTTTGTGGAGCACTGCGCTCTAATCCCACATGTTGAGTGCCTTAGAACCTGCGCATTGTCCCAGTGTGGCCTGCTGCAGTGAATAACCAGATAACAGAAAGAATTTCAACAGGTGTGGCATTGTTCATATATTTACTGAAAAATAACAGTATTCCACAGAAGTGATCAGAAATGATCTATAACCTTTTTTGTCTTCATTCTATTTTTATTTTTTGTGCCTTATTTATCCTTCATCTTCTATGGGAAGAAACAACCTGCTCTGCAATATTCATATTTTTAACTTAACCTGATTTCCTGTTCAGCTCTGTTTACGTTCTAGATTTCCCTTCCACTAAAATTACATTCAGTTTATTTAAATAGTGCCAATTTACAACATACCTCATCCCAAGGTATGTTACAGAGACAATTCAACCAGATCATAGTCAGTTTTCTATCTAAGGAAAACCAGATGATTGCATCGACTCATTGACCTGAAGGAAATCCCTCACACCAAGCATGCTTGTAGTGACAGTGGAGAGGAAAACTCCCTTTTAACAGGAAGAAACCTCCAGCAGAACCAGGCTCAGTGTGAGCGGCCATCTGCCGGGTAGATTGGGGTTCAAGCAGCCATAGAAAATCAACATAGAAGCACTGATTGCAGCCACAAAATGTTTTGCCTTTGTCTTCATTTACTAGCACATCTCGGTAGTGAAATTATTCTTTAGTTCAATATGTAGTCAAACACATCCAGCTCAGTGATATTAAATAGGGAGCCTAACAATGAAAATGGTCAGGTTTGTAAACAGGTTTTGTGAAATTAAGGTCTGTAACTGGTCTGTTTAAACCAATAAATTAACTAAACTAGTGGCGTCCAACCTGGAGGTCTGCATGCTTTAGATGTTCCTAGTTTAACCAGTATCAAATGAAATCATCACCAGTAGGCTTCTGCAGCAGAGGTGGGTAGTGACTTTTTTGTAGTGCCGCACTTTTTACTTTTACTTCAGTTATTTCTTCATAAAATATCAATGCATAATTTTAGAAATCAGATGATTTCTTCTTTTTACTCTTACTTCAATACAATTTTTGGGTACCCTCCGTCTGGCACTGTCCGTCTGCAGTAAATTAATCTGTTGTCTTTTAGCAGGACCACATCTAATAGATGAAAGGTGCTAGTTGATCTGAACTGTTCCGTTTTAAATCTAGCTGGATGTTTTGGCTCCTCTGCAGACACGGGTCTTTGCAGCTTCTAATTACCTTTTTAACAGATTTTCCATCATCCTCCTCGCCAACAACATGATCACCTTGGTAGGGTTATAAACAAAGTTTGCTGTTACTGACATGCTAACGCAAAAATGCATACACACAGATTCAGAAACCCACTTGCTTTTTAACTTACCTTTCTGTGCTTGCTTAAATTGATGCAGCTCGTCCTGGATGTCACAACTCTGCTTTAGTTGTGACATCCATAATCTGGTTTGTAGGTTCCAGTTTTTCAGTTCAGATCATGTGACTCCTTGTGAGGGAGTCATGTGATTGATTTGATTTTGGATATTTATACTGGTAAGGAAGAGTTTAAGTGTGTTAGAATATTTTTTTTTTATTATTTTATTTATTTATTATTGGCAGTTTAAAAATAGGCTCTGTGGTACAAGGTGTTTGGAGTTCAGATTTCCAACAAGTTACTGTGAAGGTTTCTGACTTTAAACTGCTATAAAGATACTATATTTGCTTTTTGCATTTTTTTGTTTCTGTTTTTCACCTAAATACAAGCACCCTAAGTACCGGCTAAGCTGACCTATGGTTGGTGCCCTCTTATTTTCGAAAAAACATACTGGAACCCTGTTGCAACACTGCAACAGAAATTTGTCAAAGAAATCTGTGACAACCGTTTGAAACGTCATGATGGAAAATTTTAGCAGTTAGACAATGTAACCTTTTAAAAACCCTTTTATACCTTGGTATCTACTTGGATCTGCTCTGAACAGTTGTTACAATAAAGCAATGGGATCCATGAGGACAGGTAGGACTGGCCAAACAATGATTTTTTTTTTTAGCCGTAACTCTGGAGATGACCAGAAAAGAGACTCTGAGGTTTTTCCTGTAAGCAATACTCTCCACTTCTTTCTTCCATCTGTCTGTACAGATAGAAAATATGCAAGGATGTAGGAGTTAGTTGCGCAGATAAAATGTCAGTTGATTAGATGTTTTCCCGGTATGGAGTAGGACAATTTCCTGTTCTTTTAGGCCTCAACAGTGCAGACTACCTCTGTATGTGGTCAAGTTATGCAATCTCATGATGCCCACATGATTCCGGGGTTGTCTTTGGTTTCCGTTTCAAATGTTGCTTTTTTAACATTCAACTCACCAAATTGTAACAGTATATCCTGAACTTTAAACCATGATAGTAGCTTACTTTAGCTGGGAGTATATAACATGTAAGGTTTCTGCAATCGATCTTAAGGGTGGCATTTTATTAGGCTAAACTTAAATAAAGAATTTAGCTTAAGATCAACTGAAATTGGCTAATGATGGAAGTCAATCTATGCTCAACCAGTTCAGATAGAAAGTGTCTAGAAAGGAAATCCATTTTTTAGGTGTTAGCTGTTAATGAACTGTTGTAACTTTTAAACTCAAGAGTTTGCTCAAGACACATACTAAAAAAATGGAGCAAATATGCTCTGTTTTAAACTCTTTAAGGCTGAAACAATTAATTGAATTAATCGTGATTAATTGATTATTGAATGATCTCAACTAATTTAGTAATGAAATAGTTGTTAATTAGAGTGTAGAGACTCTAAAACATTCCTTTAGCTGAAAGAGCAACCCACTTAGAGCTGTAATTATACCAAAATTGTTTAAAAAAAATAATAATTATATATATATATATACTGTATATATATATATATATATATATATATATATATATATATACAAGTCTTCTTTAAGGAACCTTTTACTGTCCGATTATTAATCCATTAACCGAAAAAATTATTGACAGGTTAATCAAAAACAATTATTTGTAGCCCTATAACTCTTAAGTCCAGTTCTCTAATAGAACACAGTCTGGAAATCGTAACCCTCTTTGGCAATCACAGCTGCAGTAAATGCAGACGGGGACTGCTTTTAACAATACTAATTGAACTGATTGTATTAAATGCTAAACAAGAGTCAAAAAGTCAACTTTTAGTTAAGTATTTTCTTAAGCCCTGTCTGACTGAAGAGCTGTGAAACATTTCCTGATATGCCCTAACACTAAAAATGGCTCTAGTTTACATGAATATAACAGCAGAGTTTTTTTCTTCCAGTATGCCTTGTGCTATTAGTTGTGCAAAAAATATAAAGAAATGTAAGATATATGCAAAGAAATTAAAGATATATGCTGTCCTTCTTGTACGGATAGCTCCATCCCACAGCCTGGAGGGATTAAGTTAGACAGCTCTATGGCTGAGCTCTTCCAGAATACTTACTTTGGCAATGGAATCTTGGTGCATTTCTGAAATCAATCAATATGCCGATGATCTGATCCAAAACTGTGGAAGCCATCTGGAAAGATTAACTGCCTTAAAGACTCATTTATTTTAGATCAATAAAAAAAAACCTAAGATCTCGTTTTTTGCGATGAAAAGCGACTGTCAACTCTCCTACAGCTGTTCTGATTCTGTCAGGGATGCAGGGATAGCTGAGCCAAATCCACAAAGTTTTCTGGATATTTTTACTAAACTGCTGCACAATGTTATCAGTCAAAATCTGCTCCCAACCTCGGCTTCTCCACGAAACTACCAGGATCCGCCTAAATTCCCACGATGAAATCAAACTTGGAAGATCCGGAGTATGAAACTTTGATGGATGTGACCTTGTATTATAGTTTTTGCTCTTTGTCTGGTTCAGTTTAATTCCACTCTTGCAAAGCCATCACTCCCACAACATCCTTCCCAAGGCACGTACACAAAATAAGCCTTCTTTTTTCTTTCTTTTTTTTAATAAGCGGACAGCATAAAGGCAAACAGTAGTTTCTGGACATGATTGAGCAGTTCAGCGAATATGATAATTACGCAGAGCAATCAGGGATGTTTAGAAGATCATAAATACAAGGAGGAGAAGATCCAAACAAATCATTGAACCGACTTCGTTTTTCCACAACATAAAACATTTAAACCTATAAAACATTGCGTCACCATTTTGACCGTAGCATCAACATCTGTTTCTGCTCTGATGAATTGGTGATTGTAGCTCTTATGTGGTCTCCAGGGAAAGAAAGTTATGTTTTACCAACAGGGCACAACCTCCTAATGGTGATACAGTATCGGGGGTGCATCAGTAGCAGGAACCCAAAACGCTGAAGACACTGGATATGCTAATGAAACGAGGGGCAATGAATTTATTTATTTATCTTGCTTGTTATCTTTTATATTTCTCTACTGGAGAAGGATTTACGTTTTACTAAATTGACCTTAATTTACAGGAGACTTAAAAAGGTATATCTACACAAAGTAGTCACTTTAGTAATTCAATCAAGCAAGTCTGAATGTTTTTAGTCATTCTATTTATGTGATTTTATGTTAACATTAATTTGTGAGTCATTAAAATTAATTTTTTTTTTTTAATGAAAATCCTAATGTTACATTAACTCTGTGGTTTCCAAAATGGGGGGACTCTACCTGTGAGAATGGAAGCATTCTAATTGAGTGGAATGGGAACATAAAAATAAATTGACTAAAAGACAGAGCTATTTAAAAAAAAAGGGTTTTATGCCATCGTTAAATTCAGTTTAAGCATAAAATAAACAGTTAAACTTGGTGTAGTGTGTTTGTGATTTAAAGAAGATTGTAGTTTATTTTATTGCAATATGTAATTTACTGCAATTGACTTGGACGGTGTGAAAACTGTCTTGTAAACAAAAGAGGGGCCCAGTAAAAAAAAGTTGGGAATCACTGTGTAAG